GCGTGGGGATGAAATGCGCTGCTCGAGAAAACTTATCCACTACTACGAAGATGGCGTCGTGACCCCTAACTGTGCGCGGTAAAGCCATGATGAAGTCCATGGTAACTACCTGCCAAGGGCGGTCGGGCGGTGGAATCGGCTGCAAGAGTCCTGCTTTGCGCTGGCGAGAGGACTTCGTACGCTGACACGTGTCGCACGAGCGAATGTAATCCTCTACGTCTGCTGCAAGCCCGGGCCAGTAGTACATGCGACTAAGCGTCTTAGCCGTCTTATCTGCTCCGAAGTGCCCTGCACTAACTACGTCGTGCGCCTCTGAGAGAAGGAGCTGTCGAAGAGGGCGGTAGGCTGGAACCCAAATCCGTGTGGTACCCTTCCGTATGTAGACACTACCCTGCACCTCTGCTCCTGCGGGCGGCTGCGGTGTGAAGTCGGGATCTACTGTGTAACCGTGCTCGAAGAGTGCTGTGAGAAGTGGGTGGCCAGCAGTGACTGTGAGACTGGCGAGCTGACAACTAGGGCGAGTGAGCGGATCTGCTGGGTTGCGCACGCCTGGCTTGTACTCTATCCTGTAGTGAAAGCTCCCTTCCATGAACTCCATCCACCTAGCCTGGCGACGACTCAGCTGCGGCTGCGACTTGAGGAAACGAAGCGAACAGTGGTCCGTGCGTATAACACTATCTGCCCCCTCTAGGTAGCACCTCCACACCTTATACGCATGGATGATCGCGAGCGCCTCCTTGTCGTGTATGGGATAGTTCAACTCCGCTCCCCTAAGCTTACGCGACTCGTACACGATCGGCTGCAACCCGCGTCCCTGGTCCTGAAGAAGCACTGCTCCTATGGCCTGATCGGAAGCGTCGGTCACTACAACGTATGGGCGAGTGGGATCAGGGTACGATAGTGTCGGTGAAGACGTGAGCGACTGCTTCATCTGCTCGAACGCCTGCTGCTGCGCTGGACCCCAAACGTACTCTACGCCCTTCCGAAGTAGGTCGGTGAGTGGACTAGCGATCGATGCGTAACCCTGAACGAAACGACGGTAGTAGTTCGCGAAACCGAGGAAGCTCTGCAACTCCTTGACTGAGGTCGGTGCTACCCAATCCTGTACTGCTGCGATCTTCTTCGGGTCAGTCCTAATGCCACTAGCGGATACGACGTGTCCTAGGAACTCGACCTCTGGAAGGAAGAACTCGCACTTCGACTGCTTAGCGTATAACTGCTCCCTCCGTAAGACCTCGAAGACCTTCTGCAAGTGCTGCACGTGCTCATCTTTCGTCTTAGAGAACACTAGGATGTCGTCTAGGTAAACGACAACGAACGACCCTAGGAACTCGGAGAGGACTGTGTTCATGAGCGTCTGAAACGTCGCTGGGGCGTTGGTCAATCTGAACGGTAGAACCCTAAACTCGTACAACCCCTGCTTCGTACGAAACGCCGTCTTGTGCTGGTCCTCTGGAACTACTCGAATCTGGTGGTAACCCGAACGAAGGTCGATCTTTGAGAAGACTCTAGTGCCCTGTACTGCATCGAGAAGATCCTCTACTCTCGGCACCGGGAATCTATTCTTGACAGTGGCGGCGTTCAGTGCGCGGTAATCTATGCACATCCGTAACCCTCCGTCTTTCTTGGGTGCGAAAAGTATCGGTGCGGCCCAAGGCGATCTAGATGGCTGTATGAAACCCTGTGCGAGAAAGTGCCTAACTTGCTGCGTCATCTCCTCTGTCTCTGCTGGACTCAACCTCCACTGCGGCTTCGCTACTGGCCTGCTCCCCGGCTCCAATTCTATTCGATGGTCTACTGCTCGGCTGGGAGGCAACCCTGGGGGCAACTCGTCGGGAAAGACGTCTGCGAACTCTGCTAACAGTGCACTCACCTCAGCAGGAAGAGTCGCCTTCTCACTAACTGCTGCACTCCCTCCTTTCCCCTCCTCAGCTTCCACCTCCTCAAGAAAAACCGCGAAGATCCGTGCCGCACGCTTCACTAACTGTCGCACACAAACAGCATTAATGATAGCTGTGGATGATGTGGCCCCATCGCTCCACTGTGGCAGCTCCCGGAACTCCCCATCTACCTTGACGCTGCAGCTTCCCTGAGCCCAATCGAACTGAGTACTAACCGTCCGTAGCCAATCTCTCCCGAAGATAAAATCGTATCCGTCCAGCGTCGCAGAGTCGAAATCACGCCTGACTGTGATCGGTCCTAGCACTACGCGCAACTTGCGGATGATCAGTCCTATGTGAAGTGGCGTCCCATCTACCATGCGAGCGTCCTTGAAGTTGACTGCTGAATCTGCTTCGAGATGGAGACGAGAAACTAACGATGAAGAGACGAACGAGTGGCTAGCTCCGCTATCTACGAGAATCTTAACAGGAACTCCGCGAAGCTTCCCTAGAAGCACGACTGGACGATCAACAGTGTCTACCTCATTCTCCGTAGATAACTGCTGCAAAGCCGTCTCCTCTACGTTGGTAGACGTGGCGGGTACGGGAACCTCCACACCAGCTAGCGACCCGCTATCTACTGGCGGTTTCCGTTTCCCTGCTGCCGCTCCTTAAGCTGTGGGCAGTCTCGCTTCATGTGTCCCGGCTTTTTGCAGTAGTGACAGTTCCCCCTAAATCCCATTTTCTGTGAGCCGTCACTATTAACTGCACCAATCTCCATGGGCGATGGTCTGTCCCTCGATCGAGCGTCGTTGATCGGTCTGTTGTATCCCCTATCGCGATCGTCACGACCCCGTCGGCTTCGTACTGCGTCGACGCGTTCTGCTGCTGCGACTACCGACTCGAAGGTGGACAACCCGTGAATCGCAATGACTTCCGCTATGTCCGGCTTCAACCCTTCGAGGTAGCGATCGCGCATCTCTGCTTCCGTGATATCGTCTATCTCGTTGCAGATGCTCAAGAACCGTCGTGTGTACTCCTGGACGTTGCCTATCTGTCGGAAATGACGCAGACGCTTCCTAGCAGCTTCGGAGGCGTTCACCAAATCGAACCTACTTTTCAGCGCCGCTTCAAATCCTTCCCATGTGGTCGGAACCGTGGTAACACCCAAAGCTAAACTCCCTAAGCTCGAAGTTGCAGCTGCATGCCCCACGCCCTGTTGATGCCCGTCCGTCTGAGCCCTTCTTACAGCAGTTTGAGTGAGTTGGCGCCACCACTCCAAGGCCGGGCCCCTCAGCAGTGTAACAGCGTACTCGATCCGCTGCTGCGCGTCCGCCTCATGCACCCCGCTCGCGGCGAAGTAGTTGTTCAGCATGAAGAGCCACGTCCGCACGTTCGCGTCGCGTTGACTTGGGTCGAACGACTCGGGTTTCTGCGGCTTGAGTGCGCTTCGACGTTCCGGCAGCGCTTTCGCGCCAGTCGACGTGTTGGGCGCAAGAGTTGGTGTGGCATGACCATGGGGGTTAGGAGCCAATTCACGAAGCTGTTGCATTTCAGCTCGTACCTGTCGAATTTCCAGCGTCAACTCTTGAAGTTGGCGCATGAGTTCGGCAAGCGTGTTGCCCATGTCGTGGGGGACTGCGTGCATGGTTTCGTCCATGTTCGCTCAACGACTCCAAGTCTGCAAGTCGGCACCGCGGGACGATGACGTCGTAGTCTCGTCGTCGACGGTCGCTCGTTGGAAGTCGCTCCCCGCGAAGGCTCTGATACCAAGTGTTAGGCCCGACGGCCTAAGTCCGCTAAAGAATTAGCGGGGTCGACTAAGTCGAGGATGAAACGCGGCGGAAGACTTTGGCGAAAGAACTATTGGCGAAATAGGCGAAGAAGTTACTGAGTAATTGAAGAAGAGTTGAATGAGAATTGATTGATAATGGCAAAGTACAAGCAAGGTTTATATAGCATGCAAGAAACAAGGTTGGAAAGTGGAATGTGGGACCAAGAACTGGAGTGCAAGAAAAGTAGAGTGCCACGTGGCACTAGAGAATCTGAGAAGATAAGGATAATGGTGACTAGGAATGTACTGTTCGGAATGAACAGTAAACACCCCTCTAACAATATCAAATCAACTCAATGTTACCGTACCAACTGATAAGTAACCTTCACGTAGTAGGCTCTCGAAAGTCCGTGGAGAAATCCATGGCGGCCTTATTGTCATTCGCCAAAATAAGGCTTTCATCGGTAACACCCCGGGGAGTGTGGGTAGAGTTTGATTTGCTATAGCTTTTTCGTGAGCAATTTTTCCGGAAAAAAAAACGAGCGCGTCTCTTGGCTGATCGCAAAATTTGACGCAGTTACTGTGACCCAAATCGACCTGATCTGTGACGAACGGACCCGCCCTTAGGGTTGGTAACCATTTTGCCGGTTAAGACAGCGGATTCGGCACAAATGCTGATTTCGTCCTCCACTGAAAGCGCAGCATTGTCGTGCAAGTCCGATTTCCAAACGGATCGTGCACAGACTGAAATCGGCGACCAAGTAGGGCGGGATCGTCAGACATCGTCCGGATGCCTGCGATGTCGCAGTTAATTAGAAGAAATCACTGGCGATCATTTCAGAAATTTGTAACCACCTGTCCTGAATCCGAATGTCCGGACGTTCGCAAAAACGTTACACACCCTAACTTCCAACCCTAAGATTGAACCCCCTGCCCTTACACAAGGCTAAGGCTGTTATTGATTTTTTTTGTGATGCCGACAGCGCATTTTGCGCCATACTATTCCCTCGAGCAGCGGAGGCATTGGTGTTCGGAATCTCCTTTGTCTTGAGCTTTGCAGCACTCCTTCCGTCGTTACAATGGCGCACAATCCGAGCCATCTCATGCCCACAGGTGCGTCACTTGCAACGGATACGACCAGCCGCGCTTATTCGTAGTATGCGTTCGATGCTCGCTCCTCGTATGGAGATCTCGCCGCTTGCTTCCGCTTCAAGTCCATACGAATCGACTATGTTATCATGTGTTGGCGGGTGTTATTCCCTTGTGCAGTGGTGCTGGGATATAGGGAGCATGAAGAGATAAACCGTACGCGTTGCCCCAACCCCTGTGTTGCGTGCACGCGGCAGAGTTGATCGACCGGTGCATAGGGTCGAAGATCTGGGTGATAATGAAGGGCGACAAGGAGCTGGTGGGCACTCTCAGGGGCTTCGATGTGTTCGTCAACATGGTCCTCGAAGACGTCACTGAGTAGTGAGGTTTCTTTTTTCTTCTTCTTTTTCTTTTCTTTCCGAATTACAGTTGAAACCAGCTGGAGTTGGAAAGTGCGAATGAGTTGAGTGTGCGAGCTGTGATAGTCTGACTGCGTGATGCTTGAGAATGTGATTGAGTTGTGCGTTTGAACTTCCAGCTGTGCACGTTTGCAACAACGTACGCCTCCAACAGGCGACATGGTTCTAGAGTCTGTGCCAGAGCACCAAAATTGGCGGACCTTATTTGTAACTGTTGACCCCTCCACCGCTCCATATAATGCACCTCCGTTTCTCCAAACCCTGAAAATACCAGCCCATGTACGCACGTTTCTCCGATCCCCGACCATGTGGCCTTGCTGTCATGCTTGTCTGTGTCGCATGGCATGGCAGCGAGCACACAGCAGAAGGCAGCAGAGTGACGAAGCTAGACCAAATACTGCTCAACGGCAACAACATCGCCATTGTGAGGCGCATTTCCCTCTCCCCAATACATCTCATTGCTGATTTCTTTGCTTGATTCCTTTGTTTTGCGTCTCATGTTTGCTTGGTTGCTGTCTGCCTGTTCTACAGCAGCAATTGCAAACTCCAACACTGCAACCCCGAATATATTCCCAGCTTCACCCCTCTCGTTCCCCCTTCCTTAGATAGATTTTACTCTAGGAAGGCCTTGCGTCCAGCATCAAAACGATACGTTTGGACACTGGACGTTGGACGTACGTTTTGACGCTGGACGTTGGACGTACGTTTTGACGCTGGACCTTGGACGTACGTTTTGATTCTGGACGCTGCCTGATTTTTTTTTGGGCAGCCTTAAATCGAAAATAATCTAAGGGCAAAAAAAACGGCAGAAGAGGGAAGGTCAGGGGTCGAGGGGAGAAGGGAGAGAGGAGAGGGAGGGGGGGGGAGGAGAGAGATGAGGCGTACGGGAGAGAAGAAGGAGAAGGGGAAAGTTGTGAAGGGTGAGAAGGGAGATGAGCCGGTGGGAGGAAGGGGATGGGAAGAAGGGTAGAGGGGGAAGGAGGAGGAGGAGCATGTTACGGTTGAGACTGGGAAGAGCAGGGCATCGCCTCCCCACCCCCTTACCTCCTCCCACTTCTCCTGCCCTCCCCTCCCCCCCCCCCTCCCCCCGCTTTTTTTTGGCTGCCCAAAGGGTTTTTCTGGCCTGCCCGCCAGAACGTCAAACCACCGTCAAATTATCAGTAGGGTCGCGTCCAGCATAAATTACGTAGCATTTTGACTCTCGCATAAAAAACGCTGGTTCCGTCAGATCCATCTAAGTCCCCTTCCCCTTCTGTTTCCATACGGTGTCAAATCCCGATCCGCTTCTTTAACCTCCTAAGACCCCAAACACACAGAAATGTAGCAGGTGCATACGGCAGCACAAACACTCTGTTTTTATCAGCTCTCCTGGCGCGGCACATGAAAATTGAACACTTTTTCCCCGCATGTTCCCTGCACTCCCTTCCAACCTTTCTCTGTTTCCCACTGGCAGCTCGTTCCTGGTGGAAGTCCAGAAGGATCTTGAATGTCCACTGCTTGGTGCCTCACCCTCTTCTAGAACGCAAGCTTTCTTCCAGAAGGCTTTGTTGGGGCTGTGAAGCTGGAAGTTTGCAGTTGGCTCTTGGTAGGCTTAGCATGGGGAGTAGTCACCCTGAGAGAGATGTACCCTGGGCGAGGTAGAGGCATACCGTATGGCCCCGGATGAGCTGGCAAACGGGCAAAGTGACGTGCTTAACAGGGCTCTCGATTCGTTTTGGGCCAGCCTTTCTAATCAGGGTTCTTGGTAGTCGCAACCCTGATTCATAGGGTAAATTTTTTCGTTTCCTGACAAATTCAGGAAAAAAAAAACGATTAGCTTGTTTGGACACGAAAGTTTTTTGTTACACTTAATTACTCTAGTTCAACAAGTGGCTCAGCTGGTACCATTACGTCTTGGATGTGTAAGATCGCTTGCTCGATTCTTGTTGTTAGTATTTTGCAGGGGCTCGTGTAGTGTTTTGCCTCGCTACGGAGCATTCAGTGTCAGACTAACTGTATAAGGCTGTATGAGAAATCAGATGAATAGAAAAAGCTTCTCTTAAAAATCAGATTGAAATTAAACAGCATGTCTACGACATCAGATGAACCAGTAAAAATGTGTTCAGAATCCAGAAATTCAGACAAAAATTTCTGATAAAGTAAGTCGTACCCTGTACAGTCAGAGAAATAAATTCTTAACCCTTGTTTTCCAAAGGATAAAAGAAAAATTACACCGTATCGCCCCGGATATAAGCGCAGGCCTAGTATTAAAAGCGCATGCGCTTCTATCTGGAGCAATGCGGTTATGGCCGATCCTCAATTATAAGCGCACCCCCTGTAAAACCTTGATTTATTTTAAGCGAATCCTGGTTTTAAAATTTAAAACATGTCAAAATACCGTAACGATTTTCACTTTAGCAGGCTCATACTTTCCAAATTCAGTTCTGTCCACTATGAACCCTGCACAGGCTGCGAGTCCAGTCAGCATGAGCTGTCAGGGGCACCCTGTGAGTCACATCGAATGTACTTGCCAGCGCGCGCGAAAATTTTACTCACGACCATATATAAAATTGACTCGATTGAAATGGCAGGCACGAGATATACAGTTTGGTGTCTAAAATTTGTAATTTTATGTTTTTCATTTTATAAGCGCATGCGCTTATGATTTTGACTCAATTATAAGCGCACCCCCCTAAAAACACTGATTTATTATAAACGCACCTGCGCTTATATCCGGGGTAATATGGCACTTTCTGGCCCAGGGAATCCCATTGTTAGAACGGACTAAGCTACTAGCGGAAGCTTTAGTAGTCTTAGAACCTCCTCCTAAAGCCTAGGAATCTTAGGAGCACACTTGGGCGTGAACCATGCTAGAACCAAAGTGGTTTCCAAGAAGTGAAGTCCAACAAGAGAGAACCTTAACCTATAGGGTTTGGGAGGTGGTCCACTCTAAAGAGTGTACACCACAAGTTCTCCCAACCCAACCAATGTATTCTACACTACTATAGTGTAGGTGTACCACTACATATGTTTATTGGAGCAACCCGAATTAACCTTAATTCTAACACCCCCCCTTGCTCCTATAAGCATTAACGTGAGAAGAAACGAGAATGATTGAACTATGAATGAAGTGGGTACAAGTATTAACCCTAATTGGGTTGTACCCCCTATGGGATACCCCACTACAGCCTACACAAATGTATAAGCTATAATGTTCTGACACTCCCCCATAGGCAAAGTGGGGGAGAACGAGGGGTCACAAGACCGGTCAAGCAAAACAAAGCAAAGCAAGCTCAGGGTGGATCACAACGTCACCACCAGGGCCTCAGATTCACTTTTAGGGTCGTCAGGCCATCAGGGTCCCCCTGCGTGGGAACTCTGATTGTCAGTGTCCCAAAAAAAAAAAAGCTGAAAGTTCAGTGTTGCAAATTTTCAAAGCCTGATGCATCAGTGTACCATTTGCAAAAACACTGACTGTATTTCAGACTCCTACATTTAAAATAAATAGTCACAAGAAGAGTTGCTGCAGTTATAATCTAAGAATCTCTAATAGGGGTCATGCATGCATCATCATCGGAATCAGAGCCATCATCATCATCACCCCCCTGAGCCTTTGGCTCTGCTTCCCACTCCTGTACTGCCTCTGCCTCCTTTCCTCTGCCACTACCCTGCCCCTCTCTTGCTGGAGCTGCTGCCACATTGCCAAAGGGCCGGCGCTTCTTGTAGCTGCGCCAGACCTGCACGATTTCGTTGTAGTCGGGCACGTACTCGAGGAGCGACATCGTGACGAGATCTTCAAGGCGGGCGTCTTTGAGGCTCCCACGCTGCCACGACTTGATGATGTTTTGGCGGGAAAACCCGCGCTCACATTCCACTGTGCTCAGCGGCAGTACGGCGACAGCGACCCAGAGACGCACAAGGTTGGGGTAGCTGGTCGTCCAGTCGCTTGTCTTCAGCATCGCAGTGAGGCCGGCATGGAAGCTTCTCTCGGTCTTCGGGGCACCTGCGAGGATGGGGCAAAAGGCTCGCAGCTCTTTGATCGCCCGGCGCTTGTCGATCCCTGCCAGACAAAGCAGATAAGTGATCGTTAGGATGACTGACCAACAGGGCAGAGGCAGACACCAACACAGAACTTTACGTTCAAAATGTTACGCTGAGTACAGCACTGGTGCACAATCAATAAACACGTACCAGGAAGGATGTAGTCTGTCTCCACTGCCCTGAACAGCCTGACGAGTGACATGAGCCACTCGAGACACTGCTTGTGGCGCTCTCCTCTCTCTGGTGGGTACTCATCGGGCATGAACAGCCGGACTCCCACAAGGGAGTCCAAATCTGCAAACCTCTTGGTGAGGTTGCGCACGAGCGCCTCTGCAAACGAGGTGCAGAGATCCACGCAGTTGTAGTGATTTCCCAGCGTTGGGTAGTCCTCGCTCGGGTTCTCGTGCAGTTTGAACGTGTGTTTAGTGGGCCGACCGTCTGAGTCCACTCCTTGCACCGTCACCTCGGGGTTGTCACTGTCCGGCCCGTACTTCATGATGAACGGGGACAGGCGCGCGCTCAACCCGCCCCCAAAATCATTGCCGCAGTCGACGTAGCGGGTCTCTAGGAAGGAGATGGTTCTCCTGATCTGCGCGTGCACACCTGCAATGTCAAGCTATGTTTGGGCGAAAGAAATAACATTGCGGGAAACACGGCAGTCGAGATTGGGGGTGCTTTCTCACACAAATACTGTTTTGTTTGACTGTCAACAATATAACTGCAATGACAAACACACACAGAAGCCACAAATACAATAACAAGACATCAAGACAAGTTAAGCACACACGGAAACGCCAAGTCGCTCACCTCTCGCTGCTGGAAAGACTTGTTCAGGATGTTCAGCTGCTCGAGCACGTCGGCCAGGAAGTACAAGAGGAAGTGAAACCTGTAGCTCGTGGCGAGCTCGTACAGCGTCTCGTCCCACTCGTACAGCATGACGATGATCGCGGGGAAGACGGCCACCAGACGCAAAACAGCGTCACCCCTGGAGAGCCAGCGGACCGTGTGAATCCCCTGAAGCTCCAGGTTCGTGGACGTGAAGAGTTCTTGAAGCTCCATAAAGCGTTGATGCCAGGGGCCGGAACGGCCGAGATGCTCTGCGAGTTGACGGATCAGGCTGTCAACCATGTCGAACTCGGGAAGGGCCCGGGCTGCATGTTTTGCTGCGAGCGCCTCCCTGCAGGCACAAGAAAACCCAAGCGAGCAACACAGGATATTAGCATAGGATGATACAGTCACGTCAAGCAGTTTACGCATGGTGCAACAAAAAACGTACCTGTGGGCAACACAGTGGCTTGAGACGAGATGTGGAACGCGGAGGCGAAGCCGTACGACGAGGCCGTTCTTGCGTCCCATCATCACCTTCGCCCCATCGGTGCTTATACCAGCGATCCGGGCAAGGTC